CATTGTGAAAATGTCAATACTACTCAAAGCAATCTTTGCATTCAATGTAATCATGATCCAAATTCCATCACCATTCTTTAAAGACAGGGAAAAACCTATCATTAATTTTATATGGAAAGAAAGAGAGCTTGTATAAGCAAAGCACTACTGAAGAAGAACAATGTAGGTAGGAGGTCTCACATTCCCAGATCTCAAAATCTACTATACAGCTACAGTAGTCAAAACAGCTTTGTACTGGTACAACAACAGACACATACACCCATGGAACAGAATTAAGAACCCAGAAACAGATCCATCCAGCTACACAGCTGATCTTTGACAAAGGGCTGAAATCCATTCAGTGGGGAAGAGATAGTCTCTAATAAATGGTGCTGGCCAAACTGGATATCCATTTGCAGAAAGATGAAATAAGACCCATAATTCACCCCATACACAAAAGCTAACTCCAAATGGATCAAAGACTTAAATGTGAAACATAAAACTATGAAGTTCATCAAAGAAAAAATAGGGGCAAATTTAGGGGCCTTACTTTATGGCATAAAAAGACTATAAAGTATAACTCAAAATGTACAAACAGCATTACATAAACTAGATGACTGGGACCTCCTAAAAACGAAATTCTTATGTGCATCAAAAGAATAAAAAAGAGAATCTACAGATTGGGAACAAAATATTCGGCAACAACATATCTAACAAGGGAAATATCTCTAAAATTTATAGAAAACTCCAACACTGCAACATCAATACGACAAACAATCTAGTTAAAAAAATGGGCATAAGACAGGAAAAGACATTTAAGCAAAGAAGATATTCAGGCAGCCAACAAACACATGAAGAAATCTTCATGATCATTAGCCATTAGAGAGATGCAAATCAAAACAATAAGATACTGTTTGTCCCTAGTAATAATAGCAGAGGTCAAAAGTATAGAAAATAACAAATGCTGGTGAAGATGTGGAGAGACTGGGACTCTCATACACTGCTGATGGGATTGTAAAATGCTACAACCACTGGGGAAATCAGTATGACAATTCTTTAAAAAGTTCGAAATAGAAATACCATTTGATCCAGCAAGCCTATTACTAGGCATATATCCTAAAGAAATGAGAGCCAGGACATGAATAGATACATGCACACCCATGTTCAATGCAGCACTATTCACAATAGCAAAAAGATGTAAACAAACTAACTGCCCATCAACAGAGGAATGGATAACCAAACTGTGGTACATACACGCATTGGAATACTAATAACGTAGAATCCACGGAACACCACAATACCTGGATGAACCTGGAGGACATTACGCTGAGTGATGTAAGTCAATCACAGTAGGACAAATATTGTATTAGTCCACTACTGTGAAGAGTCAAGGAAAGCTTTATACGGATGGAAACTTTGTTACTTACCGTGGATGGGAGGATGGGAGGGGAGGGAAGGGAAAATTGCTAGATAGGTAAGGGGGAGGGGAAAAAAAAATATATATATATATAGGAGCTC